CCACAGACTCCTTAATTCTTTTTTTTTTTTTGGTACCAGGGATTGAACTCAGGTCCTTGTGCTTGCATAGCAGGCGGCAAAACCACTGAGCTAAATTCCTGGCCCCAGACTCCTTAATTCTAACGTGGGATCTGTTCCATGAAGCCCTTCCCCTCCTCCTCCTTCTCTTCCTCTTCCTCGTCCTTCTTAAGTGACTGGGGTTTGCTGTGTTGCCTGGGCTGGAGTCTTGAGCTCAAGCAGTCCTCCTACCTCAACTTCCCCAGTGCTAGGACTTCAGGTATGCACTACTATGCCCAGTAGAACCTGGACTTCTATCTCCACCTGGCAATAAAAGGCAGAGCCTCACCTTTCCCTACTAGAGTAGTGACAGAGAAACCAAGGCTTAAATAAAGTCAAAATCTCATAAGATAATATAAAAACATCCATGTTTCCACTGAAAATCATTCACTTTTTTTTGTTTGTTTGTTTCGTTTTTTTTTGAGACAGGGTCTCACTATGTAGTTCAGGCTTGTCTTGAACTCACTGTGTATCCCAGGCTGGCCTTGAACTCACAGTGATCTTCCTGGCTCAGCTTCCTTTTACCAGGAAGATCTTAAACTGAATTTTAAAATGATCAATATATATCCACACCCAGAGAACAGAGATGTTGGGGTTATTTTAAAAATATTTTAAATCAGCATGATAAAAATGTGGGTTTTTTTGGTACCAGGATCAAACTCGGGACCTTGTGCTTACAGGGCAAGCGCCAGAACCACTGAGCTAAATCCCAGCTCCTAATAAAAATGTTTTAACAAGGCACTAGATTCAATCCCTAGGGCCAAAAAACCAAACCAAACCAAAACAAAACAAAAACAGAATAAACAAACAAAAACAGAAAAGGAAAAGGATTAGGAACATAAAGCCATACGTTGGGCATGGTGGCACACATCTGTGATCCCAGCACTCTACGAGCTGAGGCAGGAGGATCACTATAAATTCAAGGCCAGCCTGGGCTACTTAGTGAGTAAGACCAGGCTGAACTACATAGCAAGACCTTGTCTCAAACACATACACACACACACAAACACACACACACACACACACACACACACACACACACACATGCCACAGCAAAGAAGCAGAAGAACAAAATGGAAATTTAAAGTAGCTAAGCCTGATGGTGCAAGCCTATAAACTCAGTACTCTCAGAGACTGACAGAAGGATGGCAAGTTTGAGCCCAGCCTAGGCAACTTAGCAGACCTTTAAAACAAAAAAAGAAAAAAAGCCTGGGGTTGTAGCTCAGTGTGAAGGCTGGTTTCAATCCCCAGTACTGCAACAATAAAAGATAAATAAAGATAAAGAAAGGGAAAAAAGAAGAGTAAGATGGGAAGAATCAGTTTACTGAATTGCAAAACTGTACAGCTAGAGTAATCAAGATAGACTGGTACTGGTGGAAGGATAGACACACAGATCAATGGAGCATAATGGAAAATCCAGAAATAGTTGTACTCAATTATAGCCAAGTGATTTATGACAAAGATACAGAGGCAGTTCAGTGTGGGAGAAGATAGTCTTTACAAGTGTACAGCAAACAGCAGCAGCAACAGAAACTTTTGATTTTAAAAGCAAAATATAGAATGATAAAGTTTTATAGAAAAGCATTGGAAAAAATCTAGGCAGAGTTAGAGTTGACACCAAAAAATAATCCATAGAAGGAAAAATTGATAGATTGAACTTAATTAAAATTTAAAACTTTTGTTCTATAAAATAAAGCCCTTAAAAGGATAAAAAGGTAAATCATTTGACTGGGAGAAAATATATGCAAACCACATATTCAGTAAAGATATAGTATCTAAAAAAAGATATAGTACCTCAAATATATAAAGAATGCTCCAAAATCAACAGTAAAAATAAAAAATCCAACTAGAACATGGGCAAAAGACAGGAAGAGAAACTTTACCAAAGCAGATATACAGAAAACAAATAAACACTTGAAAAAATACCTAGCATCATTATTTACTAGGGAACTGAAAATTAAAACCATAATGATGTATCACTAGAAGTTTACTGGAGTGTCTACAATATTGACAAACCTGCAAGGATTCAGAGAAACTGTGTCGCTCATACATTGCTGCTGGCTGGACTGCAGAGTGTTACATCCACTCCGGAGACTAGTTTACCAGGCTTTTTTTCCCTTCCTTTCCAACTTCCTTCCTTCCTTCCCAAGTTCCATCCTTCCTTCCCAACTTCCTTCCTTCCTTTTCTTCTTTCCTTCCTTCTCTCTTCCCTTCCCTTCCTTTTCTTTCCCTTCTTGCCTCCTCCTCCTCTCTCTTTCTCTCTTCCCCACCCCCACCCTCATACTGGGGATCAAGCCCAAGGGTGCTTACCACTGAAATACATCTCCAGTCCTTTTTTATTTTGAAACAGAGTCTCACAAAGTTGCCCAGATTGGCTTCAAATTGTGACTCTCCTGAGCAGTTGGCATTACAGGTGTGCGTCACCACACCTGGCTGTGTCTCTTCCATGTTTGGAGAAATTTTCCATTTCAGAATCTTTGGAGAAGCAAAACGTGTTTCAGAAATGCCAGGTATTTGCCTTCCTAGACTTCTTGCAGCTGGGTCACAGGTACACGATCAATCAGACTGTCATTCAGACTTGAGTTAGAAGTCGGATCACAGTTGGGTATGGTGCTGTACCCCTGTAATCCCAGTCTCAGGAGGCTGAGGCAGCAGAAGGATCCTTTTGAGTTCAGGGCCAGCCTGAACTACATAGTGAGACCCAGTCTCAAAAAAAAGAAAAGAAAAAAGTGGTATCACAGAGGAATAGAGACACAGTGGGATTTCTCTCTGCAGTGGGGAAGGCTGTGTTAGCAATGAGTTCCGGGCTCAGCGGCAGTGAAAACTTCAGGGACCTCATCTTGCAGCACCAGCAGCTTTGCTCACCTGACTGGTTCTACAGCCTGGTTGTGGCTACTGTTTCTGGCTGTGTAGCTCCATGCCGGGTTCTCCAGCCTGGAAAAGTCTGCAGAGTAGTCAATAGTTTGTTTTATTTGCTTGTTTGTTTATTTGAGACAGGGTCTCATTATGTGGCCCAGACTGGTCTTGATATTCTAGGTTCAAGTGATCTTCCTGACTCAGCATCCCAGGTAGCTGAGATTATAGACACGTGCTTCTGCACCTGGCTCCAGCAAATGTATTTTTTTTTCCAGTATTGGGGATCGAACTCAGGACGTTGTGCTTGCCAGGCAGGCACTGGCACCACTGAGCTAAATCCCTGGCCCTCCAGAAAATGTATTTTTTAAAAATTTTTTCAGCCCAAATTATCCAGAATTATCTTTTGAAACAGGGTCCCACTATATAGCCGAGGCTGGCCTTGAACTCACAGCGATCTTCTTGCCTCAGCCTCCCAAGCACTGGGATTATAGCTGTGAGCCACCACATCCAGCCAGAATATTTTCTGATTTATCACTGAAAATTCTACCTTATACCAATGCAGTAAAAATCAACAGCCTCACCAGGCAAGGTGGCACACACCTATAATACCAACATTCTGGAAGGATTGCAAATTCAAGCCCTGCCTGGGCAACTTCTTGAAAGCTTGTCTCAAAATAAAAAGCATAAAAAATGGGCTGGGGATGTAGCTCAGTGCAAAGGTCTTGGGTTCAGTTCCCCAATACCAAAAACAAAAATAAAACCCAACAGCCTCAGGATCCTTAGTCAACATCATATCTCCTCTATGCAACCTTGTTCCTAACTTCCTGTTGGTTAACTGCCTCATTTTCTTCACATTTCCCAATAGGTTTTTTTTCCCACCTGACAAATTAAATGGCCATGAATTAACTTATCAGACTCAAGTGTCTACCCTTTGCCCAGTCAGCAGCCACTCTGGATGCAGATAGGGGCAGGCTCCTGTGGCTCCATCGTACCCCTTCTGGGGGCAGTAACAGGGTGTATTCATCATGAGAAGGCGCAGTGGCCCATGTGATGCAGTGGCTGGATTTCTGAAGTGGACACCAAAGGTGGTTTTAGAAGTCAGACTTTCTAGAGGAAGAAAGTCTGAGCTGGAACTTGCCAGATAAGTAAGAGTTGGTTAGAAGGCACTGAGGACTGAGGAGAAACTCGGGCAGAGGGAAGAGATCAGAGAGGGTACAGTAGTAAAAGGTGGGGCCAGACAGGTAGGCAGATCACACAGGGTAGTGAAGACCATGTTACGGACTTTAGATTTCCTTCTGAGAGCTATGTGCCATTGGTGAATTCAGTGGAAGGTGAGCAAATTTTCAGTTCATAAAAGCCACTAAAGTGGAATGTGGAGAGGAGGGAAATCAGAAAATTGAGCGACCAACAAGGCAACTACTGCAGTGAGGCAGTGGAGAGGAGATGGTGTCTTGACCGGGGGGGGATGGAGAGTAGATTTAGGAGAGACCGGGGATAAAATCAGACTGGGTGATACACTGGGTGTGGGGATGAAGGAGGGTTAAGGAGTAGGGATGGTTATCAAGGAGCTTGTTTGCCCTAAAGGACTGGTTAGGTAAATGAGTGGATGGTGGTACCATTCACCAGGCTGAACAATTAAAAGAGGAGAAGTTATTTGGATGATGAGCTCGATTCTGAAGATGCTTTTGTATTTGTGAGACATCCAGGGAGAGGAGTCCAACAGCCAGTCGGACATGACATATGTGTCTGAGTCTCAGGAGAGGGGTCTGGATAGAGACATAGATCTACACTGGGGTAGAGGTGGTGGGTAAAGGAAAGAGAATGGATGAAGAAGATTTCAGGTAGTTATGGGGCATAAGAAATGAAAAATGTGGGCATGGTGGCACATTCCTGTCATCTGAGCAGCTTGGGGGGCTGAGGCAGGAGGACTGCAAGTTTAGGCCTTGGCAATTTAGGAACATAAAAAGTAAAAAAGTGCAAGGAATGTAACTCAGTGTGAAGGCCCTGGGTTCAATTCCTAGTACCTTAAAAGAATAAAGGGGGGCTAAGAAAGAAAAGGATCTGGGGCAGGTTAACTGCTCAGGAAAGGAGGAGGAAGAGAAATTTATTAAGGAGATGAAGAAGGACCAATCAGACGAGTAAGAAGAAAATCAGTGTCACTAGTCACGGAGGCCAAAAAAAGTCCCAAGGAGAAAGTGCCTCAAAAGAGGGAGTCCCAGGCTGCAAAACCCAAGTAATATTATATTGCAGAAGTGTCCAGTGGATATAAAGGAATGGAGGGCACTAGTTACCTTTGCAAAAATCAAGACAATAAAGTAGTGGGTGTGGGAATCAGCCTATGGTGGGGAGAGAAGGCAGAAGGAAGTGAGAAAGGAGAGAATTAAAATTAGGCAACTCAAGGCCAGGGATTTAGCTCAGTGGTTCTGGCGCCTGCCTTGTAAGTGCAAGGTCCCAAGTTTGATCCCTGGTACCAAAAAAAACAAAACAAAAAAATAAAATCAGGCAACTCAGAGAATACAGCTGGGAAGAGAGCAGAGGTGACATCTGCATAGGTTTTTAAAAGCTGGACAAGAGTGGTGGTTGGAGTCCACCCAAGATCTCCCCAGTGTGGAAGGAAAGGGAGAGAAAATAGAGTCAAAAAGGGGGGTTCAGGACAGCTGTGGAGAGAGATGATAAGGGTTGGAGGGAGCCAATTCCCTGGGTCACAGGCATCCCTATCAGGTTGGCATTTCCTCCCCATTCCCATCCCCTTCTTGTCACTGGCCTAGCCTTCTCTGGAGCTAGAAAAGGGAAGGACTAAGTCACAGCCTGGAAGAAACTCTGTGCCCTCGGAGGTCTTTCTCCCTGCCTGTAAGTGGGGCTGGGGCTGGGGCTGGCGAGGTGGAAGGTCTGATGGAGGGATAAGAGCCAAAAGTCTGGAGCTAGTAGTTTAGGCTTTGGGGGCAAGGGTGGGAAAGGAGAGCAGGGAGATTGTGGAATCTGGGAACTACTGGGGTGAGGGAATAGGGGCTGGGGGAATCATGGCAGGAGCTGGTGGGGTGTCCACTCAAGATCCCCTTATCCACAGGTCCCCATGCCTCTCCTCCTCTTGCTGCTTATGCTGCCAAGCCCCTTATACACCTCTCTCATCTGTGAGACTGAGATTGAGGTTGTGGGCAACCTGGTGAGTGTGAACTGTGAAAGCATGAACCTGAAAGGACTGCCTACAGACTTGCGAGCAGACACAGCCATCCTCCACCTGGGTAAGAACGTCCTAGTCACCTTCTTCATGAAACCCCTGGTGCCTTTCACTCATCTTACTCAGCTGTACTTGGATCATACTGAGCTGACCAGTCTGCAGACTGATGCAATTTTGCCATCTTTGAAGACCCTGGATATATCCCACAATAAGCTGAAAACACTGCCCTCTCTAGGGCTGGCAGTGCCTGCGCTCAATACTCTGGATGTTTCGTTTAACCAGTTGACCTTATTGTCTCCTGATGCCCTGGCTGGCCTGAGCCAACTCCATGAGCTCTCCCTGCAAGGTAACAAGCTGAAGACTTTGCCCCCTGGACTCCTGGCATCCACATCTCAGCTGAAGAAGCTCAATCTAGCTAATAACCAGCTGAATGAACTGCCCCCTGGGCTCCTGAATGGGTTGGAGGAGCTTGACACCCTCTTCCTCCAAAGTAACTGGTTATGTACAATACCGAAGGGTTTCTTTGGCAACCTCCTCCTGCCTTTTGTTTTTCTTCACAGCAACCTCTGGCATTGTGATTGTGAGATCCTCTATTTCCGCCGCTGGCTTCAGGACAATAAAAATAATGTCTACTTATGGAAGGAGGGTGAGGATGTCAAGGCTATGACCCCCAATGTAGACAGTGTACTGTGTGTCAATTTGGGCAACATCCCTATCTACACATATCCAGGCAAGGACTGCCCCACCATTGGTGACAGCGATGACACAGGCTACGATGACTATGACATGACCCCTGAAGATGGTATGGTGCCTGCCACAAGGGTTGTGGTCAAATTCTCTACCAACACCAAAGCCCATACAACCCACTGGGGCCTGCTCCACTCAGAAGCTACCTCTCCTCTCGACAAACAAATGCCACATGAATCCACTGAAAAACAGACCACATTCCCACCTACATGGATCCAAGGTTCCTCCACATTCCTGATGACCATGGAATCCACCACATTCTCCAAAACCCCCAAACCCACTACTAAACCAACCACAACCCTGACTATTCCAGAACCTACCACAACCTTGACAACTGCAGAGCCAACCACAGCTCCAACCATCCCTGAAGCTACCACAACCCAGACCACTCCAGAACCCACCACCACAATACTGAAGACCTCAGAACCCACAGCCCCAGCTGCTCTAGAACTTACAGCCTTAACTACCCTACAGACCACCTCGACCTCAGCTACCCAAGAATCTACCACTCCAGAACTTAAAACTGTAAATTTCTCAAAGCTCACCACAATTTGGACCACTCTAGAACCCACCACAACTTGGACAAGCTCTGAGTCTACCACAACTTGGATCACCTCAGAATCCACAATTTGGACCAACCCAGAGCCCATTACAGAACTGCCTTTTAACACAGAAACTACCTTACTCTCTAGTTTCTTAGAATCAATCACGACAGTCACTCCAGAATTTCTCAACTCCATAAAGGTGCTAGGAGTAGCTCAAGGGAATTTTGATAGCTCCAGAAATGACCCTTTTCTCAAGCCTGACTTTTGCTGTCTCCTCCCTCTTGGCTTCTATGTCCTGGGTCTCCTCTGGCTCCTGTTTGCCTCTGTGGTCCTCATCCTGCTGCTAACTTGGGTTTGGCATGTGAAACCACATGCCCTGGTCTCTGGTCAGTCTGTGACCCTGACCACAGCCATGCACACCACACGTGTGGAGGTACAGAGAGGAAGGCAGATAACCATGCCTCGGGCCTGGCTGCTCTTCCTTCAAGGATCGCTCCCCACTTTCCGTTCTAGCCTCTTCCTGTGGGTAAGGCGTAATGGCCGTGTGGGGCCTCTGGTAGCAGGACGGCGGCCTTCAGCCCTGAGTCAAGGTCGTGGGCAGGATCTGCTGGGCACAGTGGGCATTAGGTACTCTGGCCACAGCCTCTGAAGGTGAGAGGTTTGGTGGACCCTTGAGAGAGGCTTGTATGGGTTGTCCTACTGGGATCTACCTGGGGTGACAGTGTAAAACACACAGGATCACAAGGTCTTAATTTACTTTTCCTTTCCTGAAGGCTTCTTTTCACGTTCAGGAACACAGTCCCAGCCCCACAAATCAGGAGGGGTAGTGAGATGATGGAGCTGGGTCATCAAGCCAAGCTCCCTACGTGCTTAGGGGTTGCCAGGCCACACAGTTAACTGCCATCACATTTGGGAAGTTTTTTTTTTTCAGGTCATTTCATTTTGGGGGCGGTGGTTGGTAGTTAAAGCACATAGGCTAGTACATGGCCCCCATATGCATCTGTACAAATAAGAAAATTTGGAAATTTTTCAGAATGTATTTTGAGTGTCATAAATATGAATAAACTTCCTCTCTCTGCTTAGCATTTCCTAGCTTTCCATCATAACTGTATATTATTTGTACAGTTTTAAAAAAACTTTAAAAAGAAAATATAGTTTCCTTTGGAGAAGAGTGACTGCAGCACCTGTCACAAAAATTCCCAAGGTCCCACCTGCACTCACTCTGGTTCCAACAAACCTCCAGTCATAGCCTATACTTCCCCTGCCTGGGTCCCTGCCCCCTGATGGCAACCCACCAGGCCACCTTAAGCAGCAGCTCCAGAACAGAACAGTAAGTCCCCTGGAGCTGAGTGACACTGCAGAAGCCTCTGCCTGCAGCCTGCAGCCCTGGGATGAAAGTGGATACCTGTTTGGACCTCCAGTCTCAGAAATGCACTCTCCTCACTGTCCAGGTCAGTGGTACAGGGAGACTGTGGGCGGTCTGGCAATGTGTCATTGTGTGGTGGGTTTGACTGAAATCTTGGTTTTTCAGCACTTGAGCCAGGATGTAAGGATATGAGACCCTTCTCCCCTCTCATTCCGTTTTTTTTTTTTTGGTACCAGGGATCAAACTTGGGTCCTTGCACTTGCAGGGCAGGCAGTGGAACCACTGAGCTAAATCCCCGGCCCACATTCTGTTGATTCTGCCATTTTCTAACCACACTGGTGAAACTTCCTCTTCTGCCCAATCCTCAGTCGAATCTTGGGCTTAAGGGTAACTCAGAGAACGGGGGTGAAAGCTGGGTCTTTTTGGCTTGAGATCCCCTTGCAGATGGATATGTAAGGGGTCTTAGTAACCTGAGAATCTGGTCTTATCTTTCTCTGGCTTTAAACTTTTCTTTGGGTAGAGAAACTTCTTTTGTGGTACTGGGGATCAATCCAGAGCCTCATACATGAGGTACACCCCCGGCACCAGGACAAACTCTTTTGAATTTAGCAATTGAGGATTTCCATGCACTGAATCTAACAGTCTTCAGTGCTTAAGCCACTGCAAATGCCTAACAGATCATCTGCTCCCAGCCATATTTCTCCTCTGAGTTACCATCCTCACTCTAGCCAGTTCTGACCCTGGTCCTCTTCCCAATCTGTCTGACTGCTACATGAGAGTCCCTCCTCCTAGGTAGACCAAGTATTCCAAGTTACCTTGTAATAGTCTACTGTTACACTTCATCTCCCAATCTTCCTGCTAGATTTGAAATTCCTTCAGGCCAAGGTGCAGGTTTCAAGTGTCTCAGAGCAGCCACCGTGCCCCAGGACAGTGGGCATGGAGGGGTAAGAAGGGAAGCTGCAGTAGGGGCACCAGGATGCTGAGCTCCTCCACTTCTGTTCCAAAGGCTCGGCCAAGGGGATAGCTCTCACCTGCTGCCAGCCCATTCCCTGGCCTGGCACACAGCCCTCAAACTGCCCAGCACTTCCCCTGGTTTGACCTTTCCATGCCCCTTTATGCTCCAAGAGATTTGTAAGCTCCTTGAAGCAGGGCCTGGGAGTCATACTTTGCAAAAAATAGATGAGGCAGACATGTTCTCCAGCCAGCCCAGGGTTCTGGCCAATACCCTCCCTTTCCTCAAACTTTGGGTCTGGTTCCCATGTCCACCCCATACATGCTGCCTCTCTACCCCTCACCCCTGGGTCTGCAGCCCTCAAATCATCCTCCTACACTCCCACTGGCTTTAGCTGCAAAAGTAATCACTAGATCCGAGGCCTTTCCAGAGGATTATGTGACATGATTTGTATGTCTGCTGTATTCTTGGGCAAATGGCTTAGAAGCAACACACAAGGTCAGAGTTTTGATTTTTTTTGCCCTGTCACCTGCTGTGGCATGACTGATTTACATATAATTTCCATAAAACCAGCTAGTGCTTTATTTTTTTGCGGAACCAGGAATTGAACTCAGGACCTTGCACTTGCTAGGCAGGGGCGGTACCACTGAGCTGCATCTCTGGCCTTTTAACATTTTTCTTAAAAACTCTAGGGCCGGGGATTTAGCTCAGTGGTTTCACTGCCTGCTGCGCAAGCGCAAGGACCTGAGTTCAATCCCTGGTACCAAAAAAACAAAAACAAAAAACAAACAAAAACTCCAGTTTCTCTTCTCCAGAGACATCCGCTTCTTTGTCCAGTCTCCTCCCCTTTCTGAGCCCCACAACTGTCCAGATCTGGGGGTTTTGTCATCAATCCAATTTATTAAGTCCTCAGTGAGGGGGAGGAAGGATCACATCCTCCCACTGCAGACCCTTTGATCATCTTGATAGCTTTTGCTTTCTCCTGTCCCCTCAGCTCTGCCTTGGTTTCCCCAGTGATAAGGGGAATCTTCTGCTGTCCCGTGTGTCCTGAAACTAATACCCAAGAGGAGACAGAGAGTTTCACAGCTCCCCAGGGAACAATGAGGGACAGAGTTGTCATAAGAATCAGGCATCAGAAGCAGGGCAAGCTGGACCAGGGGGTAGAACAAAGTCCTTTACCACAAAGGAAAAAACCACACTGTGGCAGGGAAATAAATAGAGGGGCCTGGGGCAGCAGAGTCCAGGCCCCTGGGTGAGGGGTGCAGTGACTGTAGGAGCAGCGGGTGACTGGGAGCCCTAGCACACTGGCTCCAGGCATCCTGCCACCTCAGCTACTGAGGAAGAGACGCTTGTAGGCCTTGTTCATCTGCTCCAAGAAGATGAAGGTGAGGACAGTGTGAGGGCCCAGGCGGGCATAATATGGTGTGAAGCCCTTCCATAGGCTGAAGAACCCCTCATAGCGGACGACCTTCACCAGCACATCCTAGACAGACAGCAAGTAGGGTACTGGGGCTAGGATCTGTCCTCCACAGCCTTGTCCCCTTTACCCAGTTGCCCTCACACCCCTCCCAAGCCATCCAACACTTCAGCCCAAGCCCCCAGACCAGCTTCCTCACCAGCCCATTCTTGTATTCTGGCTTCCCGTCAATCATTCGCATGTTCTGAATCCTGAAAGAGAGGATAGAGGGATGTGACAGACAGAAGGATACCCTCCCACAGCTCTCCAGACCCAGGCCTGCACTCACCGGGTCTTGACAATGTCCACAGGCATGGAGGCAGCAGTAGTGACGAGGCCACTGATCATGCTGGCACAGAAGTGGCACAGGATATTATCAGAGAAGTAGCCTGGGGTGGGGGGGCATAAGGCAGAGGGTGATGCTCAGCTCAGATGTGCCCTGGGCCAAACTGGGAGCTGAGAACCTAGCTCTGAGCCTCACCTGAATCCAGCAAGAACTGCTTGGATTGAGAATATGAGGCGAGCTGGGCAGCATTGACAACAACAGCCCGAGCCATGGTAGGGATGCAGCCCTAGAGGTGGAGGGGTGGAGGAAGAGTCAGAAATACCAGAGATCAGACTCCACATCCCTCAAATCTCCAGCCCCTTTTCTTACTCGCCACAGTGTGGGAATACCCTCTTCCCGGGCAATTCGAATCAGGGCATTAAACACATTTTTGTAGCCTCGGCGCTGGTCAGCTGGAAGCCTAGTGGGAGGGTAAAGATAAGCCAAGATCAGGATAACTCACACTGCCCACAGAAGCAAAGAAAGGCATGAACAGGTAAATGCCCTGCTCTAAACTGGGGGTGGGGGAAGACGATGACAAACAGACAAAAAACCTGGTCTTTCATTCTAGATTCCAGGAATGGGAGTGGGGTTAGGGTTTGACCTGGAACTCACCGGCCATCAGCAGTCATGCGGATAAGAGCCACCTCAGCTGGTGTTCCCACAAATGCACCAGTTGCACCTGCAGTCATGCCAATCAAGGCCTTCAGCAGAAAGCCAGGGGGTGTACCATCAGCCCCAGTCAAGCGCTCAAACAGCACAGTATAGATGCCAAGGCGAGTAGTAGTGTAGGTTGCTTGGCGCAACAGGCCAGCAGACAGCCTGGGGAGCAAAGGGGTCGGTATGTCAGGCCAAGGTCTGGACCTGCCAACCCCCACCCTCCCCCAACCTGAGGCCCCAATACCCGGTATAAATGCCCCTTAGCCCTTCTGCCTTCAGGATGCTGGTGAGGGCATGGAAGCTGGTTTTGTACTCTCTTGTCTTGGCCCCTTCTCCGCTCAGCTGCATCCGGTTCTTCACCAGATCCAAGGGCTGCACAAACACTGTAGCTCCCATCCTGGAGGAAGGCAAAAGTTGAGTCAAAAGGTCGTGTTCTAGATCAAATAATGGCTACTGGTGCTTGGGAGCAGTTACAAAGGTCAGGGCCTGCCATGCGATTAAGGATGCAGGAGGTTGATGGTGTGTATAAGACTTTAGGTGCACCAAGAATAACATGTCTGAAAAGTACACTTGTCCAGTAGGAGGCATGCAAAGAAAGTGCTTCTAAGTAGCTCCATGGGAGTCAAGCAGTGAGCAGGAACAGCATGCAGTCCGACTCAGTGTGGGCAGGAAGGGAACATCCAGGACCTGGGACTCCAAGTAGTCCTGTAGGGAACCATTTGATAACCTGGAACCGCATACAGTCAGGCAGAGGGTCAAGCAGCGGGCTGGGAAACTCAGGTGGCCCACTGAGGGTCATGCAATGACCCTGCATGCAGCCCAGTAAGGGCTCTGTAATGGATAAAAACATCCTGGAAGCCCATCAAGAACCTCGCAATACGCTGGGGATCACGCTGACCTCGTGCCGGCTCAGTTCACTACAAAAGACCCAGAGAAGAGCAGGGCCCAATTCCTTGCGCCAGTCCCTTCCACCTTTCCCATCCCTGGGGCCTGAGCTTACCCGGCCAGGCCCCCAAACAGGAACTTGACGGACTTAGGGGAGGTACGGGGCTTCCCGTCCATCCCGCCGGCCCCTGGACTCGCCGTCGCCGCCATCGCTACTCAATGGCTTTAGGCTCCGAGTCCCGTGCACGCGCGGCCCGCTTGCACCCAAGGTGACACCGAGCACGCAACAGGATAGGGCGCGCGCACCCCTCTAGCTCTTAGGTCCAGCACCAGCTGGAAGCTGGCGCTGGCGCAGGCGCGCAGCGCAAAGGCGGTCGGGAGTAAGGCGGAGCTGAAGGAGGAGCTTGAGAGGCGCAGGAGAAGGGGTGTGGTTGGTTTAAGAACCCAGATTACAGGCGCAGTTATTACCGAATTGAAATAGCGGGAAAATAATTTTTTGAAGGTCTCGCGAGAGCAAGCGTGTCGGACTAGCCAGGTTTGGGAAGTCTCTCGCGATAGACAAAGCAAGAGTTCAGCAGCGGCCGGTCGGAGGCAGGGAGTTGGAGAAATGTGAATGCTCTCGCGAGACTTGGTGCGACGGAGACGGCCTAGAGAGAAGAGGTTTGTAAACAAGGTAACTTGGAGGAATCCCGGGTACTAAAGGGAAGTGATTAGCTCGTCTTCTGGGCATTCCTCCACCTGTAACACTTCTTTTAACCGGCCTTTTAGAATCGGAAGTCCTTCATACGATCGTCCAATGCTGGAAGCGGCCTGACTTTCTTTACCGGAAACCCTTTTCCAGGGTATAGGAAGACGGCCCATCTGGCCGGAAGTTCCACCTCCTTGCGCACCCCTACCCTTTCAGAAGTTTTTCTGTCACCCGTGTTTGCCTCTGTTCCCTTTCTCCGTTTTCTGTCTACACCAGAAAAGGATACATTTAGTGTCTCCCTCTTAGCTCCATCAAACGGGTTGTGTATTTCCCCGAGTCGGGGTTCCTTCCCCGGAGCCCCCATGTAGCTGAGAGGTGGGACCTGGGGGTGGCTGGACCCCTGGGATCCTGAAGAAGGGCACAGAACCCCGCTTCTGCTCCTGCTACCAGGGCGCAACCTCCTTAGCGTTTGTCCTCCCGCTGCCATGCACTCTGCGGCCTTCCCACTTCCTGTGGTTGTGGCCACTGTGCTATGGGGAGCGACCCCCATCCAGGGGCTCATTCGAGCGGTGAGTCTAATGGGCGGGTGGGGGAAGGGCGCTGAGGGGAGGGAGTTGCAGGCTCAGGGGAAACAAGGCCATTTTTTGTCTGCAGACCTCGGAGCACAATGCCAGTATGGACTTTGCAGACCTCCCAGCTCTGTTTGGGGCTACCTTGAGCCAGGAGGGACTCCAGGTGATCTTCCCAGTTTTCTACTTCCCCATATCCTCTGTCCTGGGCGGGAGTTGAGGAGCCTTGCCCTGAGTGAAGCTAGAGGTAGAAAAAACTCAAGTTAGAAACTAAGTGCTTGTCCGTGTCTACTGTGGAATCCAGAATCTAGAGGTAGAAGACTTCACCCTGAAACTCCAAACTTATGAGGGACACTGAAAATGTACTAAGATAAAAATACTGGACGAAGTGGTGCACATCAATAGGGTCTCAAGCCTATTATTGATTGTATGGCCTAGGATTTGTTTTAGTGTAATATAAGATAGCAACAAATTATATTAGGGTTATTGTGTGAGTAGTGAATCAGGTAAGCAATTCTATAGTATTTCATTACAGAGGCTGCTATACAAGAACCTAGTTGGGCCATAGATGTCAGCAGAGTTGTTTATGAGATGGGTAGTTGTAAAATTGAAGGAAAGCAGGTATATTCTGTGTACTGAAGAGGGAAATGTGAAACAATTTGAGAGTGTGACATGGATGGAGAATTGAATTAAGACCAGGATACTGGAAGATGGAATTGAATTATCTGAAGTATGGAGTATAGGTTAGCCCATTTGGAACAGGGAGAGAGATGGGTAGAGGATCTGATGATGGAATGTTGTTTGCTGTAATTGCATCTTCAAAAAGCTAAGAGATGTAGACTTCAGACTTGGGTGGGATATTCAGATCCCATGAATAAGAAGGGAAAACAGAAGATGTATAGCTGGCAGAGGGGGAAGTGTTCTTGGTGGGCCCTGTGGGAAACAGAACCTAGAGTGGACAAATCCAACTGTTGTTTTGCTTCTGTCCTTCAGGGGTTCCTTGTGGAGGCTCACCCAGAAAATGCCTGCACTCCTATTGCCCCACCACCCCCAGTCAATGGGTCAGTCTTTATTGCACTGCTTCGAAGATTCGACTGCAACTTTGACCTCAAGGTTGCTGAATGTGGGATGGGAGCTGGGAAGCTGAGGGTGAACAAAAACACCTGGAATAAAGAAAGCAAGGCCCGGGATGGTTCCTTATCTCCTGCCTTGTCTCTCAAGGTCCTAAATGCTCAGAAGGCTGGGTATGGTGCAGCTGTGGTACACAACGTGAATTCCAATGAACTGCTGAACATGGTGTGGAATAGTGGTAAGATGGGGGATCTGGATAGCTGGGTATTCAGGAGAGTTCAGATTGAGAGACAGTGAGAGGGCTGAAGGCTCAGGGAAAACCACAGGTCGGGGGTGGGTGCCAAATGCCAGGGTTCCTGAAGGATTTTAGGAGAGAAGGTTGAGTTCATAGTGTAATCCCCTGATCCTTGCAGAGGAAATCCAGCAGCAGATCTGGATCCCGTCTGTGTTTATTGGAGAGAGGAGTGCTGAGTACCTGCGTGCCCTCTTTGTCTACGAGAAGGGGTAGGACATGCGACCCCTTCCAACTTTTCCTTCAGCAGCTCCATGCTAACATGGAGCCCAGGCCCCATTGCCCCACTCAGTCTCAGATCCTTCCTCCCTTATGTGTTGACTTTTTTTTCCTTTCTTTCTTCTGGTACCAGGGATTGAACTCAAGACCTTGCACTTGCCAGGCAGGTGCGGTACCACTGAGCTACATCCCTGGCCCAACCTGTTGACTTTCTTCCCACTCTCTTCCCTACCCATGGGTCCTATTCAGACCCAGTTACCTTGTCCCTCTTCCTTGAAAGTTTTTTTTTTTTTGGTACTGGGGATCGAATTCAGGTCCTTGCACTTTCGGGGGCAAGGGGACAGAACCACTGAACTAAATCCCCGGCCAAATTTTTGTTTTCTTGACTCTTAAGATTGATCTTCTTTCCTCAGGGCTCGGGTGCTTCTGGTTCCAGACAACAGCTTCCCCCTGGGCTATTACCTCATTCCTTTCTCTGGGATTGTAGGACTACTGGTTTTGGCCATGGGAGCAGTAATGGTGGGTAACTCAGGGAAGCTTGGGGGAAGAACCAGTGCTTATAAGGCCATACTGAATCTGGAGATGGGAGGGGGGATGGTATGTGCCAGATCAGTGGTGGTCAACCTCTGGCATGTGTATTGTTTTGCTTTTAATTTTAAGACAGAAGATGTTAATTTTTGAGTTGTTTTTTTTCAAAACTAATTCAATATTTGGGTTTAATTGCATTGTTGGCACTTTGGGATAAGTGGGTTCTGGCTTGCAGTTTGGGCACTTGTTTCTAATCACTGTGCCAGATTGCCCAGTTTTCTTCCCTAAGCCTGATCTATCCACTCGCCCCTCCTCCTAGGTAGTTCGTTGTATCCAGCACAGGAAACGGCTCCAGCGGAATCGACTTACCAAAGAGCAACTGAAACAGATTCCTACTCATGACTATCAGAAGGGTGAGAACATAAGAGGGGAAGAGTCTTTCCCACAGCTTACCTGGCTCTGAAGGAGTCTGAGCCCAGGACATAGTAGTACAGACAGGGACTGAGAGGGTTTCAGCCTGAGAAGCCACCTTTTCTTCTTTTTACCCACATGTCCAATGAGGACAGGAGAGGAGATTGAGCAGGATATGGGAAGCAAAGATGACTAAGTCAAGTAGGTGGGAGAAATGGTACACCTTTAGTATAAGGGAGGAAATGAAGAGAGCAGAAAAATGGAAAGAATGAGGAGGATTGAGAAGGAAGAAACAGGTAAGAGGGAGCTGAGTTTTCAGACCTTGGAGCCTCCAGTGCCCATATAAGGCTATACCAGAAGCCTTGCCTCCCCATTTCCGCTCCTCCCATTGTCTCTCACCCTCAAACCTCCTCCCCCAAAACCCACTTCCCTTGTTACCTCTGCTCTGTAGTTGTCCCTTCCAGCCCCAGGTTTCCCCTCCATCCCCAAGTTCTTGCATGTTCTGCCTGGTCTTACCTCCCCCAGTCTTAGCTTCTCTATGGCTCTGTAGAACCAGGGAAAATAATTTTTGTAGGACTTAGTTTTATCACAGCCTTCCAGGGTGAGTTCTTGGGGGCCCTGGTTCAGAATAGCTCAGCAAAGTACTACTTTCTTCCCTAGGAGACCAATATGATGTCTGTGCCATCTGCCTAGACGAGTATGAGGATGGGGACAAGCTTCGAGTCCTCCCCTGTGCTCATGGTGAGGCCTTCACTGCCTGTGCCCATGCCCTAACCCCACCAACAGGCACCAGGTACTTCACCTCATTCTTCTTTGCAGCCTATCACAGCCGTTGTGTGGACCCCTGGCTTACTCAGACCCGGAAGACTTGCCCCATCTGCAAGCAGCCTGTCCACCAGGGTCCTGAGGACGAGGAGGAGGAAGAAACTCAGGGGCAAGAGGGTGATGAGGAAGGGGAGCCAAGGGACCATCTGGCCTCAGAACGGATGCCACTCCTGGGCTCCAGCCCTACTCTTCCTACTTCCTTTGGCTCCTTAGCCCCAGCCCCCCTTATTTTTCCTGGGCCCTCAGCAGATCCCCCACCCTCTCCTTCCTCCTCTTCCTCTTTACCTGCCATCCTAGTTTAAGGCTCCCACACCCAGAACCTCTGTTAATTTGCACAGGCCTTCCTCCCTCAAGTCTTCTGATCTGAGAGGAAGGGAATATTTCCATCCCAGGTTTCTCCCTTACCCAGCCCCATCCTTTTGAAGGAGTTGGGGGAATAGGCAAAGGGACTGATGGTTATTTCTTGGGTTAATAAACTTGTTTTTGTGGACTGAGAAAGGGTAAGGTCATTTTCAAACAGGTGAACATATCCTTTGGGAACATGACCCTTTTTTTCTGCCACAAACGGGAGCACTGGGAGACTAACCTGTAGTCTTGGGGACAGCCCCAAGAGACATTTGCTGTGACTCAGGGAGAGCCCCACCTCCGCATGAGGATGACTCAACTGGTCCTGCCTTACCCACAGGCTTGGACCCATTCTCTGGTCTGAATGGCTCTATTCCATTACCTACCAATTTGACTAGCACACTTGAGGAGGACCTAGGCTGGGAAGTACCACCATGAAGGAGCCAGGCCACCTGAGCTTAGTCCTGGACATAGGAATGGAGAGAGCAGGAAAATGGGAGTTCAGGAGGGTTCATCCCGGGACATGGAGGTAAGACGCTCAAACATCTGGACTTGGTGCCTAAACATTCCTGCTCCCAACTCAAGGCCAGAATTAAAGGCAGGTCAAAGTGCCTGTCCCCCGTTCTGACACCCAAGCTCAAACAACACAGCACCTTGTTAGAATCTGTTTTTATTCAGAAAAAAAACAAAAAAAAACACCAAAAAAACCCCCAAAGTTTTCCAACCACACACAGGAGGGGGATGGGTAGGGGGAGGTATCTGTCCATCCAGCCCCAGCCCCCAGCCCATGTGGTTTTGGCAGCAATAAAGGATATGGGGTAATGGCCCCCAAAATAAAAATGGTGTACGCGAAAGGGGGCGGGTGCAAAAGCGGTCAGGGAATGGTGGGAAGGGACAGATGAGGTCAGTACTGGGCACGCCGCAGGTGGGTAGCCATTTCATAACATTTCTTGTTGACTGTACCACCATGGACACCTTCTTTGCCCATCAGCAGGACTAGCGCTGGAGGAAAGAGAAAGAAGGCTAGGACCCAGGTGTCACAAATCCACCCCCTGCCAGCTGTTGGACAGCTGTCCAGCCCTGGGGGCTGTAACCCAACCTCATCCTTCCCAACCCCCCACACACAGGCAGGCTGTCAGTCACCCTGAAACAATAGAGCTTTTCAAAAGGGGAAACTCAGGCTTAAAAGCTAGAGGGGAACAAGCTAAAATTCAGGAGTCAAAGGCTCATATACTAGATTCACATGCTCAGGCTAGAAATAGCTATGAATGAGCTTGCCACCTCACCTCAAGTTTTAACAAAAAACCCTCAAAAGATCAGAGCCAAACACTGATTTAGGATCCCAACAATCTCTAAGAAAACAGGATTTCTAATCTGAAAAATATCAAGGCAGGAGTAATTTAAGAAGTATTGTAGTTCAACTTCTTTATATTACAAGATGGGGAACTAAGAACTACAGGTTTCAGCACCCAGCAGAATGCTGGTCTGATCCCTTTCATACTGAAGAAATACGTACACACACAAACCCCAGAAGATTGAAAATGTAAGTACATAGGGGAACTCAAGAGCTAGAAGAGGGGTAAAACTCAGAAACTCACTCTTGGCAGTCATGGTAACAGAGATGTTGAACGTAGGGGCTCCACCAGTGCTCTTGGTACGAAGATCCATGGTAAATTCCCCATCCAGTAGCAGTGAGTCCCGGATCACAGAACATTTCTGGCCCCCAAGTGTCAGCCCATTTACAAAAAAACTTGACCGGTCTTTTCCAACCAGGACACCGACTTCAGCTGGCTGGAAGATGAATCAAGCACCCAAGTCAGTGCACCAAACAAAGTTCCCACCTTGTTCTCCAAGAACACACCTGTTTTCCACTTATCTAGAGCTAAAACTTTAGAGGTGAGGGTTTTGTATACATCGGTGAAATTTAATAAAGTACTGTGGGAAGTTAGTGCAGAAGATAATCATGATCTTCAAGTCTTGTAAATGGGACCAGGGAGGAAATGATAATATTCTTCCAGGCACTCAGATCTCAATAGGGAAAGCAAACCCAGGAAAACGGGACCAAAAGCCAGTGAGGACAGTGGGGAGCCTCTGGATGCTCAGAAGTCTCCTTCAGGAAAAGCAGAAGCAGAGAGAGAAAGGGAGGGGGCGGGCAAGGGAGGAGAAGCAACTTTGCCCTTATTTGGTCAAAGGTTCTGCAGGAGTTGTTACGGGCCCGGACGCCTGGGTCTCCATGTAACCTAGAGTGTAAGTCCAAGTGTGTATTATCTCAAGATGAGGAAGCAGACCCCTGGACGCTTTCCGGGAAAGTTGGAAAACTTGTAGGAGGTGGGAGCTAAACCGGGTAAACCAGCTCTGGGGTCTAGCTGCCCCAGGGAAACTTTCTCCCCCTCCCCCTTACACCCCAAATCTCCATATCCGGTCCCCTCCCGCCCGGAAATCCCCTTCCCCCCTTTCGAACTTCCGCTACCCCTCCCCACTTCCGGGCAGTGTGGCCAGGGGAGGTGATTGTAGGGACAGCAGCAGTCTTCCCTCATTCCGTCACTTACACTAACTCAGAAGTTCTCACAAAGTTCCCCTGCTCCAGGCCCCGCCATAAGGGAGGGCGAGGGTACGGGTACTTCCGGGATTGGCTTCACAGGAATGTTGAAGCCGACGTGCCGAGTTGGGGGTGTGTGTGGTGGCCTCGCCCTCTCTAACGGAGTTGGGAGGAGCAGGCAGTCCACGGCGGACAGGCACAGCGATCAACCCCAAGCGCCTAGGACTCCCACCCGCATTTGGGAGAACAATGGTGGAAAAGGGCGCAAGACGGCTGACTTGAGGGGGGCCAGGTGTTCCCAAGTCCCTTCTCAATCACAATTCCTAGTTAAAAATTGCAGCGGGTGTCCGCCCCGCCCTGAGGGAGGCGGAAGTGGGCCACCGCACCGGGCGGCGCGCCCCTCCCCGCCCTATGCCCCGGATGTAACGCCCCGTCGCAGAAAGCGGGGCGACTGGCTGGATGGGCGCCGCCGCCAGGGTCGTTAAGACTTGGAGGCAGCAGAGCGACCCGCTCACGTGCAAGCGCCATTCGCGCCGCTTCCAGGGCAGGAACCCAGAAGTCTTGGCCTCTCCCTGGCCTCCGTAGACCGCGCCTGCCCCCACCCTCAGAGTCCAAGGCCGGCCAGTGCCTGGGACCGCGCAAGCCTTTCAGTACCGTGACGTTGGCGAAGGTTTTCCCGGGGACGGCGGCCCACACGGAAGGCGAGTCCTTGTAGCCCACGATGGCCGCGTCCTGACAGGTCCCGTCCGCCATGAGGTTGTCGATGTAGGCGTTCCACCCGGCCATGGCGTTGCTGCTGGGGCTGCTGTCGGCACTGCTGCTTGGGGCCGCGGGCTGGGCTCGGGCAGGCGGGCGGGGATAGGCGGAGAGCTCGGGGCACGCGCTGCCGTCCGGACCTCGGGTGTGCTAGCTGTGCAGCAGCCCTCGCACCGCCACTTCCTGCTCCCCCCCCCCGATTTTTATTTGCAAAAGGAGGTAGGGGCGGGGCCTTCTCATTCCCTCCCTCCCTCTCCCCCTCTCTGCCCAGACACCGAACTTTGCAAATAAAATTTTAAAAATCCCTCCCCCTATTGCAAAATTTGCAGCGTTCGATGGAAAGCAAAGTAAAAGCCTCGGGGGCTGGAGGAGGAGAGGCTATGGTTAGGGTTCGCCCACTTCCTCACACTTTACAAACCAGACTTGGTACAGGGAAAGGGAGTGAGCGGGAGGAAGGAAAAAGAACGAATTAACGAGATGCAAATTAACCAAATTAAAAAGAGTTCGGGGAACCCAGGGTTAAACGGAATGACTTCTTCCCCCACCTCCGCCGGAGGGAAGGAACGGCAGTCGGCTGCGGCGCTTGCGCGTGCGCGTGCGCCGGGAGGGCCAGCGCGCGGGGCGGCTGGGGTGGCCTCGGGCTTTGGGCGCTCGGGCGCGCGCCTGGCCGGACTGATTTGGGCTCTCCTGGAAAGGCGGGCGCATCAAGAGCTTGTCTCCCGCCAAAGCGGAAGGAGCGGGGTCGCTGGCGTGCGCGCTGCCGCCTCAACACTATTAATTTTACTTATTTAAGCAATAAGAGTAAAGGGGGATTTGACAAAGTATCTTGCCTGTTTTCAGGCCTAAAGCACCGACCCGGGGCACCTGTCCCCCGCGTCTGCCTGGGGCGCACAGGTCGGCCTCTTTCGAGCACATCTCCACTTAAGGGCATTAGCCTTTCCCTGGACTGGCTGTAGCCGAAGGCCTCGCCCCGAGCCCCAGCCCTGCCCGTCCTCGAGCCAGCAGCTTGGGTCACCGGTAGCGCCCCTTGGCCCATCTCGACAAAGGTCAAGCCCCGGCGCCCGAGGCGGGCGGGACTAATTTTTCAAAGCGGAAGAATACTAAACTTTCAAGGTTGGCAACTTTTGAAGAAGGGGAAAGTCCCTCTTTGTGCCATTGGGTTTTTCTCTTTCCCAGTAAAACATGGTAAAGCCTTATATACTATCAGTTCACTCGCCGCCCCACGGCAAGAGGATCAGCAGCTACGGCCGGCGGGCTTCTGTGAACCATCCCCCAAGACCCTCGCCGCCGAGAGGCTGGGCCGCTTCCGGTCCCTCGGGGGAGGGGCGCCGGGGTCACACAGAGCCTCCCAGGCGCGCGGGATAGGGCCTCGTTTCAATCTCTTCCTCCCAACCGGGGCGCGGTTCCCTGGTGTCCACCCTGGGCCCCGACGACCCCCGAGCCGGTGTTCCTGGAGAGCCGCGTGGCTGAGTCACTGGCGGGCTCGGGCGGGGCCGCACTCGGGCACGTGGCGGTGCTCCCCGCCCGCCCTCTCCTGACCTCTGGCCTGCGCATTCCCCACCCCAGAGAGTGGAAAAATCCCTGAGGGAGCTGCCAGAGATAAGGGGGACAGGCGAGAGGGGAGATGGGGCGCGGGGGGGGGCAGGGAGGCGGGGCGGGTAGACCTCCGAGAGGGCCGGGGGGGGGGCGGGGTGTGAGTCACCGGGTGCTGGGCCCTCTGGTGCCGGCGAGAGGGGCCTCTAAATTGGGTTGAAGAGCCGAGGTGCCCCGAGATCCCGGCCCGTCGGCCGGCCCAAGCTGCAGCAGGACTTGGGGCAGATCCCACACACTGCCCCCAGACCCGTCAGGCGGAGAGTTACCAAATGTAGATAACCTTTCCTGCAATGCTGCAAGCAGATGGAGGGACCGGCCCCAGGATCCAGACGCTTACAAAGGGCCACCCCTTCTTCCCATCCATTCATTTTGTTTCATTCCTGAGTCTACACTATTCATTGACGAGCAGGGGCCACGCGGAGAAGCGCTTACAGTCGGTGGGGAAATAGGCTCCAGACTGATAGGCTCCACGCTGGGCCACAAGTGCTGTTCCAGCGCTATCAGTCGGGCGTGGCGCCAGCTGAGCCGGCCTGTCTAAATTGGTCCCACCACCCGCCCTGCTGGCCAGGAGAGTAGGATGAGAGGTGGCCGTTATGAGGACCCTGAGAGGTGAGGTCCTCTCGCCTTTTGGATGTGTGTATGTGGGGGTTCAGTTTTACACCCCAGAGCTCCCCCAGAATCCTGGTCCCTTCCCCCACGGAGGGCACAGGGAGTGAGCTGAGTATGTGTGGATGTCAATCCTGCAGCCCCTCTTCCAGGCCCCCTCCCCAGCCCTGCAGAGCTCAGGTTACCTCTGGCCTTTCCTAAAGGGCATTAGTTCCTCTTTAACCTTTGCAAAGGGGGAATATAATCCTGGGGAGGGGAGAGAGCCCCCAATCTGAAGCCTCTTCCCTTCTCCCAAGGGGTGGAATTTGAAGTAGGAACTTTTATTGGGAGACAGAGAAAGTGTGAGGGGCTAGTCATTAACCTTTGGAGAGGGGGTTCTACTCTAGGTTGTAGTGGGCACTTGGCTGCCAGCCCGGTGTGGAAGGGGAAGGTTAGAGTGAGAGGCGGGGCTGGCTGGGGGACAGGCCACCTAGGGATAAATGCCCAGCCTGAAAGGGGATGAGCTGACACTGTCCCGGCTGCCACCTAGACTCAGAGCTCCATCCAAGGCTCCAGGGAAGACATCCCAGATCTGGTAAAACTTTCAGCCACAGGGGCTAGAGGTGTGGGTGATGCTGGCTTAGAGAAAACGGGAAATTGCAACTTTTTTTCATCGTGGGAGTGAGAGTTCTTGAAACAGAGTGGCTAGGCTAGAGCAAGCAGGATGGCAAACACTGGGAGTACCTAAGGAAAGGAGGCTTTGGGGAGAGGCAGAGGTGGATAGAGAAGGATAGGATTGGAGCCAGGTAAGGAATTTGGGACCCAGTAGGATTTGAGGAATAGGAAAATGAGAACCAGAGAGGAGCTTAGGGCTAGAAAGGCGTGGAGAAGAAACAATTTGACCAAAAGGATGGAAGAAGAAGGCATAAGTGCAGCTTTGGGGGAGGTAAGGATTTGGGGAGTGATGGGATCCAAAGAGTTATAAGGCAGAGGCCCCTGAATTCTTAGGATGGGAATGAGGAATAGGAGCTGTTCTGAGTGGGGGAGGGGGCTGTGCCTGCCTCTTTGGTCTGACCTTTCTAAGAGTATTTTTAGCTCTAGCACCTGCCTTCTTAGCGGGGGGAAGACTCTTAAAGGGCAAGGGATTTCTAGTTCCTTCAGGGATCAAGTGTCCACACTCACTCCAACTCATCTCCTGCAGCCATGGCCATGCAGAAAATCTTTGCCCGAGAAATCCTGGACTCCAGGGGCAACCCCACTGTGGAGGTGGACCTGCACACAGCCAAGGGTAACACAGACCCACTGAATCAATTTGCTTCAGAGTTGCCAACCTCACCTGGCCTATGCCTTTGAGTTCTGTGGCACATCCTGTCCTTTCTCTGAGGTTCCCTTCCCCATACTTCCTCCTGGCCCTCTTCCAACCTGGTTCTGGAGTTGGGAGAAGCTGATTCTCTCTGCACTGGCTTCTATCCCTGGACTCAGGGAGACTTCAGCCTTTGCAGGGTGAGAGTGGGGGCTTTCTGTGATCTTCCATTTCTTCCAGGCCGATTCCGAGCAGCTGTGCCTAGTGGAGCTTCCACGGGTATTTATGAAGCTCTAGAACTAAGAGATGGAGACAAATCCCGCTACCTGGGGAAAGGTGAGAAAGACCAACAAGAAGGATCCTGTGTGGGTGGTTTCAGGACATGTGCCTGCAGGTAGAAGACTGGAACCCAAAGCCATTGAAGAGCTGGGGTCATGGGGAGAGACCCGATGGACTTGGAAATCTAAACCCACTCCCCTGACTTTCTAGGAGTGCTGAAGGCTGTGGAGCACATCAACAAGACTCTGGGCCCTGCTTTGTTGGAAAAGGCAAGTGGAAGAGTTAGTTCCCCTTTCCTTCCTCTCTGTGTGTACCTCACCCAGAGCAGTCCCCTCTCCCCAGGTCGCCTTTTTTTCCCCAAATATTTTCACACAAGCCAACTCCTGAGAAATCTGACACCTCCCTCCAAACCTGTCCTTCCAGAAACTAAGCGTTGTGGATCAAGAAAAAGTTGATAAATTTATGATTGAACTGGACGGGACCGAGAATAAGTGTGAGTGAAGGGCCAGAGGCCAGAAGTGGGGAAGGAGTGGAGTGTCCGAGGGGTAGAGAGAGATGATGGAGGCTGAGGTCTGGCTGGGTTGTTTCTTTGTTCCACATTTTGGGGCACACCATAGCTGGATAGCTTTTTATTCATTCCACAGGCATTTCCTGATGCCTGCCCTCTGCCAGGCTTGGGCTAGCTGTGGACACAGATGTGAAGCTGACACATCTCCCTGGGGTGGGGACTCCCAGAGCTCTTCAAACTGCTGGGGAGAGATCTGTTAAAACTCTTAATGCTCAGTGGTTTGGAGCTTTGAATTCTTCTTGAAGTAACCAAAAGGGATATTCAAGGAAATAACCCTAAACCTTGTAAGAGAAGCCCTCACCCTTTCTTCCCACTTTCCTCCTTCTAGCCAAGTTTGGGGCCAATGCCATCCTGGGCGTGTCCTTGGCAGTGTGTAAGGCAGGAGCAGCTGAGAAGGGAGTCCCGCTCTACCGACACATTGCAGATCTTGCTGGGAATCCTGAGCTCATACTCCCAGTGCCTGTGAGTGTGGCTGGCCCTGCCAGATCCTGAATGACATAGCTGCCCCCAGCCACCCATGGGTGCTAAACCAGCCCCTGGAAAATCTTCCTTTCAGACCCAGCTCCAAGGAAGGGGTTTCCTGAAATGGAATCTCTCCTGCTGCAGTCTGGCCCCTCCCTCTTTCCCATAATCCAAACTTTCCCTAAGCTTCTCCGTGCTTCCTTCCCTGGCTATGTAACTGGCTTCCTTCACATTCCAATACCAGGCTGCTAACTCCAACCTCATTCTGCTCCTGCATCCCACCCCTCAAATCAGATTGATGGCAAGGATCTTGGCACTTCTTTGTATCTTCTCAAGTCCTTATTAAACCAGTGCCCTCTTAATGGAAGCTCTTTGAATTTAATCTCAATAAGAAGGTTACCACTTATCGTTTCTTACTAGGAAAATTGTGTAATAACCTGGATTCTAGAGATGAACTGCTGGTTTCAGTTCCTGGCCTTCCCTGATTACTAGTTGTGTGGCCATAGGCAAGTTGACCTCTCCGTGCCTTGGTTTCCTCATCTGTAAATGGGAGTAATCATAGTACCCAGTTAATAGAGATGTTTTAAGAATGAAATGGGGCCAGGGATAGTAGCTCAATGGCACCTTGCCTGCCTGGCAAGTGCAAGGTCTTGAGTTCGATCCCCAGTACTGAGGGAAAAAAAATATTTCAAATTCTGTAACTTTGGGGCTGGGGATGTAGCTCAGTGGCGCTGAGCCACCCTGGCAAGCGCAAGGTCCTGAGTTTGATCCCCGGTACTCCCCAAAAGAAGGAAATGAGCTCATTTATGTAAAGCATTTCTAACAGTGCCGTAAAAGTGTTAAGCTATTGTATTCCAGATAAAAGCTAAGAACTTTATATTTACTTTCTCTGACTTTTAGCAGAAGATCCAACAGGGAAGTAGGCAGGAAATATCTCTATTTTATAGAAATAAGGAAAAAGGTTTTGGGGGTAAAATTACTCACCCTAGACCACTTAGTTGAGATGGAGAGGGCACTTAGACCTGGGCTTGGGTATGAAGGTTAGCGTTCCAGTTTCCATTCCTTCTTTGTCCCTCACTCCTCAGCCCAGGTCTGAGCACCTTCTCCCTGTCTCAGGCCTTCAACGTGATCAATGGGGGCTCCCATGCTGGAAACAAGCTGGCCATGCAGGAGTTCATGATTCTGCCTGTAGGAGCCAACTCCTTCAAGGAAGCCATGCGTATCGGTGCTGAGGTCTACCACCACCTCAAAGGGGTCATCAAGGCCAAGTATGGGAAAGATGCCACCAATGTGGGGGATGAGGGTGGCTTCGCACCCAACATCCTGGAGAACAATGAAGGTCAGTGCTGAGCACTGTGGGGTGCAGATTCTCTGGGTGGGAGGATGGGCCACAGAGACAGGGGCTACTGGAGTCTCAGGTCCTCTCCTGATCCTCTTCCAGCCCTGGAGCTGCTGAAGACAGCTATCCAGGCAGCTGGATACCCAGACAAGGTGGTGATTGGCATGGATGTGGCAGCATCTGAATTCTATCGCAATGGGAAGTACGATCTTGACTTCAAGTCACTTGATGATCCTGCCAGGCACATCACTGGGGAGAAGCTTGGAGAACTGTATAAGAATTTCATCAAGAACTATCCTGGTGAGACTCAGTTGTTTCAGTGTTCCTGCTCAAGTTCTCTGTAACTGCCTAACACACTGATTTTTGGGCCCTTTCTTGTGACTTGGGTCCTTCCTATCCTCAGCCCCATTGCAGTCCCCATCCAAACTTCATTACCTGTCACCCCTCTGAGGCTGCTTGGGATTATAACCCTGACTGTACCCCAACCTCCACCAGTGGTCTCCATTGAGGACCCCTTTGACCAGGATGACTGGGGCACATGGACCTCTTTCCTCTCGGGGGTGGACATTCAGATCGTAGGGGATGACCTCACAGTCACCAACCCAAAGAGAATTGCACAAGCTGTTGAGAAGAAGGCCTGCAACTGCCTACTGTTGAAGGTGAACCAGATTGGCTCAGTGACTGAATCCATACAGGCGTGAGTACCTCCTGAGTTGGGCTCACCACAGCCATCTGTAGCCCAGCTCTGCCCACTCCAGCTAGTCTTGCACACTAACTCCAAGTTTACCTTTCTTGTGGCACCTGATCCACCCACACCCTCTTGACCTCAAGACCTTGGCCTGACTCCAAGAGCTTTGCCATTATGGCCCTACTGTTCTCCACCCCCAGCCTACGCTATTCCTTTCCCCTAGATTCTGCAATTCCCGCCAGCATCTCAGGAGCCCCCAATTCAAGATCAGAAATCTCTTATCTCTTACTTACCAAAGAACTTAGTTACTGCCTTCACTGCAAAGTGCCTACTACCCAATACAGAAAGGAAAAGTCCTAACCAGCCTCTGGCTTTTCCACTGAGAAGATCCCACAAGGCCTCATTAAACGTCTTCTCTATTCAGCTGCAAACTGGCTCAGTCTAATGGCTGGGGGGTGATGGTGAGCCACCGCTCTGGGGAGACTGAGGACACGTTCATTGCTGATCTCGTGGTGGGACTCTGCACAGGACAGGTACTCATGGCTTCCTCTGCTAACCTTCTGACCAGGTTTTCTTGGGGGTCCTCAGCTTCTTGCCCAAGTTGAATGCCACCACAGGCTGCTCCCTTGGGGCCAGGCAGGCCCAATCTCTTTAGTCTCACCCAAATCCCTCTTCCTATCTCAGATCAAGACTGGTGCCCCTTGCCGCTCAGAGCGTCTGGCCAAATACAACCAACTCATGAGGTACAGAGGGTACAGTAGCCTGGGCATTGGGGAGCTGAGCACTGCTGGCCTAAAAGGCAGCAACTGTGACTTTATTTGGATTCTAGGATTGAAGAGGCTCTTGGGGACAAGGCTGTCTTTGCTGGACGCAAGTTCCGTAACCCGAAGGCCAAGTGAGAAGCTGGAGGCCCCAAGACCTGACAGGACAGACCCAAGCCTGTGAACTCTTCTTGAAATAAAAATGGTGCCAAATAAGACCATGGATTGCTCCTCTGTGGAAGGGAGGTGGACAGGTAGGGGAAAGAGAGGCAGAGAACATATATGTATAAACCTAGAACAAGGAGGAAATGAGGGACTATCAGGAAGGTAGAGGGGAGTGGATCTAAATAATAGTTCACATTGGAAGGTGGCTAGGGGAAACAGGTACATGTGAAATGGAGCTGGAGAGTGCTGACAGAGCAAAAAACTAGCTCCAGAAAAGGACAGAAATGAGTATAACTGGACCAAGGATCCTGCCATCATGAGGGGGAAGCTGGGGCAGGCTTGCGACTGAGTTGAAATAAATAGCCTGAGTGCACTGTGGAATAAAAGTCACAGCCAGCCTGAGTGCTTTATGGGGATGAGTAAGGGGAACAGCTACTGCTTCTACAGGGCCTACAAGGATCTGGAGGTGTCCTTATTGATATGTATTGAGCTTTGCAGTCTTAGAAGCTATCCTGTCAGTTACCATTATCTCTATTGTATGGGTGAGGAAACTGAGGCACAAAAAGTTAAAAAATATCTTACCCACTATAGCAGAGTTAGCAAACGGAAAGAGCCAGGATCCAAAGCCAGGCCATTTGACTCCAGCAACTCTGTTTTTAAAATACTGTATTTAAATTAGATGTGGTAGCACATGCCTGTAATCCCAGCATTCTGGGAGGCTAAGGCAGGAGAATCACAAGTTGGAACCTAGCTTGGTCAACTTAGCAAGACCCTGTCTCAAACAATAAGGTCTGGGAATGTAACCTAGTGTCCAGGCCCTGTTTAATACCCAGTACCAACAAACAGCACTATCTAGTAAGTCCCAATGCCAATAATTGGTTACTTTTGATTCACACAAATAGCAGTTTTATACTGTTCAACAACATTATTTCTCTTTTCTGCCAGTGGCTCTAAGGCCTATTTTTCTATATACAAACTAGGATGTTGGGTCAAACAGTGTTTATTGAATGTAAAGTAACCAGCCCCATGGGGAAGAAAGTTCCAAGGAGAACAGAGAATAATACAGATTAAATATTCACCTGTGCATTCACACTTTTACACACACACACACACACACATCCTGCACATACATATCCAAGCTCCGACAGTGACAAACACCTGCTCCCCCCAGCCTAAGTGACAGCTGGCAGAAGGTTCCAGAGGTGGGGCTCCAGGATGGGTCTTAATAGCAGCAGCCTTGTCCCTCCCTGCCCTGCCCCAAGAGGTCAAAGGGAGCTGGGTGGGGCTCCTAGGAGGTAGGTGGCAACTCTTCCCCGCTCTGCCGCAGACGCTTCTTGGCTCGGATCTCATTCATGGCCTCTTCAATGGAACGTGTGTCCCTCTTGTTGGCCACGGGCACTGGGGGCAGGGGGCAGGGGGCAGGGCCTTAGCCTCTGCTCACTTCCCCCATCCTGTACCTCTCCCCAGGCCTCCCGCAGCTCCCACCATGGCTTACCACAGCCATAGGTCTTATTGGCCTCTAACATGTGGGCTGCATCCTTGGCTGCTCCCTTGCCAATGAGGTGGCTATACTTGTCCTTGTAGTCACTGGCAGGGCTTACCACCACTGGTCCCTGCTGGGCCGCCTCCTCCTCCTGCTGCTGGGCCAGCTCCTAGGGGCACAGATAGGGCACTGGTGGTCAGGGGCCTGACTCTGAGCCCTTCCAGGTGTTGGTGGGGGCTGTAGGGCCCTAGGGATTGTCAGGCACAGCTCACCTTTAGCTTCCGCTTCTCCTCAGCCTTCTGGGGATCCCACTCTTCTCCATGGCGGTAGGATTCCAGCTCTTCATCCGAGGGTGCAAACTCCTGGAGAAGAAGGAAATGATGGAGTCAGGGGTCCATATAAATCCATAATCTCCTTCCTCTCCCGCAGGTGAAGGGATAGGCTGAAAAGGGGAGAGAGAGTGGCGAACTCAGGAGTTCAGTCTTTTTTTTTTTGAGATAGGGTCTCGCTATGCAGTTCAGGCTGGCCTTGAACTCACTGTGTAGCCCAGGCTGGCCTCAAACTTGTGGTGATCCTCCTGACTCAGCCTCCGGAGTGCTGGGATCACAGGAGTGCACCACTACACCTGGCTTTTTACCTTTTTGAAGATCATGACGTAGCGACAGTCATCATCTTCCCCAAAGGAGAAGGATGTCAGGCCAGCCACTTCCACTACATCATGTCTGAGAAAGGATGGCAGAAGAGAGTGTGTTGAGCCATAAGGAAGCCCAGTGATCTCCTCTAGAAGGGTCCCCTGCTGCCCCTTTCATGCTCCCCAGCCCTGAGACACTCACAGTATGCTCCTCTCTATCTTGTTCATAGGCTGAAACTTTTTCTTGATCTGCCCACTGTCTTGGATGAAATCTGACACCTCTTTCTCCATCTTAGGAGAAGGAAAGGGAAGAAGATATGAAATGATAGTTCCACCCAAATATCCCTCTTTCCAACTGGGCCAATGGCCTTTCTATGCCTCCCCACATCTTCCCCAGCCATCGTGAGACTGGCATTTAGGCTTCACCTCCTTTTAGACATTTTCAGTACAACTGACTCCTCAACCTTCCAACTCAAACTTATTGGAAGTCCTTCTGAGACAGTCTTTGATCTTTCTAGGTACTCACCCTTTTACGAAATTCCACTTTCTGTTGTTTCTCTTGCTCTTGTAGTTTCTTCAGACGGGTAGCCTGCTCTGGAGGTGAGAAATGGCAGCATGAAACTGGGGCTAGGTGGGAAGGAAAGAAGGCTTCAAAGGAAGTCCGGTGTCCACTGGAAGGTGTCAGGTTGGGAAGGTAGCATTACTTTTTATTCACCAAGCATTTACTGATGCTTATTACAGACTGGGCACTGTGCTGGGCCCTGGAGTACCAGGATGATTAAAACAGTTTTGCCCTTCAAGAGCTCACAGTTCAGTGGGTGTGATAAAGATTACAATCATGCTTAACCTCCATTTACCAACCTCACTGGGAGATCAATTAACATTTACTTAATGCGCAGGTGGTGAGGAGACCAGAGTAAGTCCTATGACCTCAGATTTTATCATTGCATTGTCTATGTGGGAAAGGTGAAACTAACATCCTATATTTCATAACCCCCTCACCCCCCCACCCCGCTCCACTTCCCACTTCTACAGATAGGACTTGCCGAAATGGCTAATCTAACACCCTTGTAAGAAGCTTTCCAGTGGGCCGGGGATTTAGCTCAGTTGTTCGGGTGCCTGTCTTGCAAGCACAAGGTCCCAAGTTCGATCCTCGGTACCAAAGCTGGGGATTTAGCTCAGTGGTTTTGCTGCCTGCAGCGCAAGCGCAAGGACCTGAGTTCAATCCTTGGTACCAAAAAAAAAAAAAAAGCTCTCCAATTACAGCCAGGTGTGGTGGCACACACCTGTAATCCCAGCACTCGGGAGGCTGAGGCAGGTGGATCACTGTGAGTTTGAGGCCAGCCTGGGCTATGTAATGAGTTCAAGGGCAACCTACATGGTGAGAACTGAGTCTCTGTCTCAAAAAATAAATACATAAAAGGTCTCCAAGCCAGGTATAGTGGTGTATGCCTGTAATCCCACCACTCTCAGAGGCTGAGGCAGAAAGATCACAGGTTTGAGCCCAGCCTGGGCAACCAAGCTCTCCATTCTGGAGTCTTAATCCCTCCTGTTCCTCAGAGTCTGGTTCTACAACAGAATCAGATCCCATCTACCCCTACAGGAGAGGATTGCTTTTTTTAATTTTTTGTCATGTTAGAGATCAAACCCAGGGCCTCATGCATGCTAACCAGTTCCATCACTGAATTATACCCTACCCGCAAGAAGAGCACATTTCTAACCTGTAGCCTTTATTCTTGCCTGTTTTCCCCATGATGGAATTTTACTGCCTCTTGAGATTTGGGCAAGCACCCCTTCCTACTTTTGCTCCTCAGCCTAAATGGCCCCCTCTCTCTTCTGACATTTCAAATCCTTTCTATCCTTAAGGCCTACTTCTTCCACAGGATCTAAATCCCTCCCAGCTGCACTGAACCTCTTCTCACTTTTCTAATCACTTCATGCCTTTGCATATGTTGCTCCTTCCACTTGGAAAGCTTTTCCTCCTCTTGCAAACAATCTCGGCCATAAGTCAGTTACCTTTTCCTCTGAGGTCCAAGTGTATTTGGTTCAGACATTCACTATAGCCAAGTGCTGAGCATTAACATGCTCTAACCTTTTGTCTTTCCTACCAGACTATTTGTTACTGGAGGGCAGGGACTCTGTTCAACTGTGTCCAGTCATCCTCTGGTGCCACAGAAGCTCTCATCTCTCTGACCTTATTATCATTACCCCCTGTCTTGGCCATTGATTTTTTTTCTAATTTTTTTTTCTCTGCATCTGAAGAAGTGGCATAAGATTATGGTTAAGAATGAAGGCTTTCGGGCCGGGGATTTAGCTCAGTGGTTCCACCTCCTGCCTCACAAGCGCAGGTCCTGGGTTCAATTTCCCGGTACCAAATAAAAAAAAAGAGAGAGAAAAATGTAGGCTTAGCTGGGAATAGGAGATGCTTGTAATAGCAACACTCTAGGAGGCTGAGAGGCTGAGGCAGGAGGATCACGAGTTTGGGTCCCGCCTGTCTCAAAAAAGGAGGAAAATGGGGAGGGAAAGCTTTACCTCGTTTGAAACTCACGTGACCTCAGGCAAGTGACTAAATTGACGTTTCCTAGTCTATCAACTGCAGCCAGTGGTTCTAACACCTTCACAGTCACCAGAGCATTAAATAATTCCAACTTCCCCTTCCCATTACGACCCTTCCTTCCTCAGAATTTTCAAATTTACTTTGCCTCTAACACTTTGCTCCTCTCTCTCACACAGTAACTTATCACACTCCTGTGCGATCATTTCTTCAATAAGCGCCTTAGACCTAGACTGTGGCCTTCTTGAGGGGTACCCTGGTTCCTAGCAGGCGTTGAGTAAATAAGGGGCGATATTTAGATCTTCATCAGCTCTTGAGCACTTAGGGGAGGCTTTTATCGTCCCACCGGGCCGCACCCTAGCAGGCCACCAAACTCGACCCAGCCTGCTAGGAGGCTGCTCGGACACTGTGGCAAATAGGACCGGCGGAGCATTCTCATCTCTCCAATCAACGTCACGACCCGCTCGGAATTTAAGGGTACAGACAGGAAAAGGGTTATTGGAGGGAAGAAGGCGGCGCAGGGCTACGGCTAAGAGGAGGGGCTTATGGACACGGAAGACTCAGCAACCAATGGGAAGTGCTGAGGATGAGGTGGAAGGTCCAACAACACTTAGAAGGTAGAGCTTTGAGATAGCCAATAGTGGCGAAAGAACTGTGGATGAGCGTGTCCTGAACCCAATCGGAATAGAGCTGGAGAGGGCGAGGGGGCCGAGATGGAAGCATACGCCATCCTCCAATAGGAAGAAGGGAAGGTGGGGCAGGACTGGAGGCGTCCTCCTAATCAGAGCTCACCAACAGCTGACAGGCGGTCCGGTCGGCTAATTGGAAACAAGGACTGCGGAAGGCCAGGGAACAAGAGGCAGGAGGTTGGAGCTAAGCTTCATGTAGCCAATCATCGTCCGCTAAGAACGGCAGGCGGGGCGCTATCCCTATTAGGCACTGTGAGGGTCTCAAAAGGGGCCTGTGAGGGGTCTTTTAAGGTACAAGAGGCGGCATAGTCCAAAGAGGGAAGAGTGCGGTCCTGAGAACCGGGCGAAGAAAGGCGGTTGTGAATTTGGGGTCCTCACCTCGGGCCTTGCGCCGAGTCTCCTGGTCGCCGAGGCTGGGTGGCTTCTCCATGGAGCTCAGGATGGAGCCCAGTAGGTCCGCCATCTTGGAAGTGACTGAGAGGGGGCGGTGCGTTTTAAAGGGAAGGGCGAAATGCCTTTAAAGGCGGGAAACACGTCGGAGGCGGAAAACCACGCCTTAGCGGGGGCGCAGGCACGAGGTCAGCGGCGCGCGCGTCCCCGTCTCTTCCTTCCTGGAAGCCGGCGAGCCCCGCCCCGCCCCCTGCAGATAGAGGCCGGAGGCTGGCTGGTGCAGCGATGTTTTAATGGCAATTTGTATAAACCAAGCCCATGCACAAGTAGAAAGTGCTCATGGAGCTGGCAGGAGGCCCCGCCGCGCCGGGGAACCACACGTCTGGCCGCGCAGCTCTCCCCGCAGCGCCTTAAATAGATTCTTCACTATACTCTGTATGTTACAGTATGTACAAGCCCCCTCCCCTCGGGGCCGGGCGGGACTCCGCAACGCGCGTTCCTCTCCGCATCCCCTCCCTTTTGGCCCCGGGTTGGGTGGCCAGAGTCGGGGTGACCCGGGAAGACAGGGCCAGAGGGGACAGACGCAAATATGCGGAGTCGGGGTGGGGCACGGTCAGCCCCCAAACATGAGGGCGAGCAGCGAAGGCAGAGGTGGGGACCGAGGCGGATACATTCAGAGACGCGTCGAACAAATAAATAAGGCAAGTCAGGAAGGGACGAGTCGGGTGCAGGCAGGGAGGGGGTGTGGATAAGGAGCAGGCAGGGCTCCGTAGATCACAGCTGAAGATGCAGGTACGTGAGGCGTGGATCTTCTGGAGCCTAGGACCAAGAGGAGGCACAACCCGGAGAAGAGGGATGGAGGGGCAGGGATGGGGCGCTATGGCCCCTACGGAGGGCTTGGGGAAAGCTGCCGACAGGGGGCTCCCCCTGCCCCAGACAACACTCTCCTTATTAAGACTGCAAGAAGGGCCCCTGGGTGGTGAGAAGGGTGGCAGACTGGTCAGGTGGCCAGTCCTGGCTGAGGAAGCCCTTCCAGCTCCTGGTTCTGCTTCAGTTCCCTCATCCTACAGAGACAAGGAAGGAGTCAGATAAGGGCAGGTGGCAAGGCAGAAATCCAGTGAGGGAAGGGACAGGTGAGTACCTGTGTCGGCAGCGCCGCAGGAATCTCATGATTTTCCTGGCTGCCTGGTCCTGCTTCTTAGTGAGAAAGGAGCTTCTGGTGGAAGAAAGATGGAGACACCTCACAGAACTCCCGAGTATCCCATACCCTCGGCCCCCCGGGGAAACCCGCAGGGAAACATGGGCAGGTAAAGTGATGAGGAACCAGGGAGTGGGCATGGCCGAGGAGGATAGGCAGAGAGGGTTGCAGAGATGGGGCCATACTTGTTTCGAGGAGGCAGGGGCCCTGAGGGCCGGTGGGGAGGCCCAGGGCGTCGGCGGTAAGAGCGGTAATGCTGCTGGATGAGGACAGCAGCTCGGCGGCTCTGCTGAAATCTCTTCTGTTCATAGTAGCTGCGGAACTTGCTCTGGATCAGGATGGCCGCCTGGGTCATCTTTTTATAGAGCGCAAACTGCAGGAATGGGGAGGAGGGACAGGGGCTGAAATGGAGGGACAGACTCAAGCCCCTGAGCATCACCCCCAAGGTAGGCTGATGCAGGTCTCTTTCTCTTCACCCACACTCATGTAAAGGCTAAATCAGCACAGACAACTCACACCCAGATCTCATGCCTGGTACCTTAAGTGCAATCCAGGTCAGCTTGTGGAGAGAGAAGGGGAGTTAAGGCTCTGGCAGTAGTCTGGGTGCTCTGGATTAGAATGGGTGTGTGTGGTGTGGGTTTGTTGTATGCTTTTGGGTGGGGGGGTGTTGAGACAAGGTCTTGCTATGTAGTTCAGGCTGGCCTCGAACTCACTATGTAGCCCAGGCTGGCCTCGAACTCTTTGATCCTCATGCCTCAGCCTCCCAAGTGCTGGGATTACAGGATTGCATCACAATGTCCAGCTGTTGCATGCTTTTGAGAGAAGAGTCTCACCTGCTTGTACTTCCGGTAACAGCGCTGGATCACAGCTGCTGCTACTTCCTGCTGCTCCTTCAGCCGCCGGCCCTGAGGGGGAGAAAAGTCTCAGCACCTCATGGCCACCTAATGCACATTGTGGACCTGTCTTCTACTTACCCAGGGGGCCTGTCTTCCTCCAGTCTGAGGCTTGTCTGGATAACTGTTCTTCCTCCAAATGTCCTGGGAGCCTAGAGTCTCCCCTGCCTCACTTATTCTGACACCCATAGCCCCCTAACCTTGTACTTTCGGAAGGCTGTCTGGATGACTCGGGCTGCCTCATAAAGTTCCCGCTGTTCATGATCTGACAGTGTCAGCAGGGCAAAGTCACTTTCCATCTTGCCACTGGTGGATGCAGAGAGAAACTCTGCCCAGGAAGGTGTTGGAGGGACAGCCAGGCGACCTCGCTCAAAGGGCAGTTCACTGTGAGAGACAGGGAGGAGGGATGTTATGGGGCATCTGAGGTTCCCTGTGTCCCACCTATGGGTGGCTGTGAAGAACCCCAGCAACAGAGTCTTGAGAGAGTAGCTTCAGAGTTCATCGGCCAGTCCAATTCTCTTTTCAAAATACTGGGGCCTCAACCAGAATGGTGCTTTGGCTGTGGGGGAGCCTGCTTCCTCCCTCCTCCCATTTTCCTTTGAAGAATCTGGAGGCTTTGTCCTGAGCTGGTCACCTGGGAGGGGCGGAACTAGGAAAATGGTCCACATTCTCCAGGTAGCTGGCCAGCCAGGACATGGTCTCACTGAGCCCCACAGGCCCTGTCCGCTCCCGCATTGAGGCTCCAGCCTCAGGTAGCCCCATGAAGTCCTCTTGTTTAATCCGTTCTGGAGTGGCTTCAATGATCTGCTTTGCCAGTGAGATCATGTCCACCTGGATGAAGGAAGAAGCTGTGTAAGCCCTCATGGGCTCCCACTGCCAGGTGTTTTTGCCCTGCCAAAGCTCTAACCTGGGTCCACTCCCTCTCTGGTCTCTTCTCACTACTAGATACTGAAGCCTCAGGGACTGCTCCCCTGCTAGCTCTGACTGTTTCACCACTGTTCCTGATTTATTCATTTATTCTTGCCAGCTTCCAATGGGGCGGGGGGGAGTGTGCAGCCCTCCATGCTGAGATGTGGGGAACACAGGGTAGGAAGCACATACTTCAAATGGGGATTCAGGAGGGAAGCAAATGAAGGACTTGCCACCTTTCCAGGCTGAATGCCAAATGTCCCACCTGGGCTTGCCCCATGACAGCCAACCAGCACATTTCCCCTTGAGCTTAGCCATGAGTGACAACCCAAACCCCCTTCAGCTCTCCCAAGAATCAGCTTAGTCCTTGCTGGCCACATTTCAACTGATGAATTGTTCTAGGCTGTCCTTTACTCCAGCCTGAAGCCTGTGGTACTTCCTGTTCCTACATTTCATGCAGCCTCCTTTGTGGAGTTCTCTAAGTTTTTGTACTTAGATTACTACGTAATTACTCTAGGCTTTCTAAAGCAGATAGTCCTAAAAAAAAAAAAAATAAAAATATGGGGCCAGGGATTTAGCTCAGTGGTTCCACTGCCTGACTCACAAGTCCAAGGACCCAAGTTTGATCCCCGTACCAAAAAACAACAAAAAATAATAAAGCAGATAGCCTTCAGGTTCTAGCAGAGAAGAACATAAATAAACTTGAAAATTCATTCCTTCTCTTTTTCTCATTCATTCTATAAGACTTCTAGTTTCTTAGCTTTTCTCATGTGCAAGTCTCTTTCCCACCTCAGATTACTTCCTGTTACCTCTACTTGCCAACCCCTCTGCTCACACTACCTGATATCACTCTGGTTCCCCCAAGAACCTTGTCCCTTTATGAACCAACAGGTAACCCCTACAGGCCCAGCTCTAAGTGAAGATACTCTCCAGAATTCCTACATTCTGCTGTATTATGACCACTGAGTCACAGGATCTGAAAGGAGCTATGCAAAGGGTTACCTTGCCTGTCCCAAAATGGGGGTAAATGACCCTTCTTCCTAAAGCGATTTAAAACTCTGATTCTGCTTCATGGAATAGTCTGCCTCACTCTGTCTCTGTACCCACTAGCCCTCATAACTCTACCAACATAAGCAGTACCGGGATCACATCCACAGTCTGTGGGCTGTCGGTGTCTTCTGGAGCAGCCCCATCATCTGGGGCTGGCGGGAGGGCAGGAGGAGAGGGTGGGGACCCTTTGGGGTTGGTAGCCTCAAAGTCCATGAGGAGCAAGGGGGCCTCTGGTATACCCGAGGAGAGCTGGCCTGGGACCATCTCCTCCATAGTAATCTCAGAGGCTGGCAGAGGACCAGGAGGAGGACTGCCATCCGGGGCACTAGAGTAGGCTGATGTAACAGAGAAAGTGGCATCTGACAGCTCCGAAGGTGAAGAGACACTACTCAGACCTGTAAGGCAAGGGAAGTGGATGAGGGCCGTGGGAGCTACAGGCCAGCCCTCAAATCTCCTACCCTGGACCTTGTTCTCAGTCTCCCTGGATGTTCTCCCAGGTTCCTGTTATCTCCACATCCTTGTCTCCTCCTCTTCCACTTTCTCCCACCCTTGGGCTTTGTCCTGGCCTAACCTATCGACATCCCTCTCAGAAAGATCAGGGGCTATACTCACCAGTATCTGGGCTAGAAGAGGGGGGTGACAGGGCAAGTGGGGGCTCAACTGAAGCCTCTTGTCTCTGCAGTTCCTCCAGGCAGCGGGCAAGGCGCACATGACCCCGGCTATGGGCAACAGACAGGGGTAGACGGCCCAGAGAATCAGGAATGCTCAGTGCCTGTTGATTCCAACGGAAAAGGAGCACAGCAGCTTCCAGGTGTCCCAGGGCACAAGCCCACATCTAAGGAGAGGGAGGTGGAGGTGAGGCCACGGCTCTTCTTTCAAGTGGCCAGGTCCTCTGAGCCTGGCCTACCCAACTTTTATCCCTCAAGGATCTTCCCTTTAAGCACTGTGCCCATTGCCCTGAAACCTCAAAGGACACTGGCAACCTCACCAGAGGAGTGCAAGAGAAATGATCCACGTTGAGCGGGTCAACCTCTTGTTCTAAATCCAAGCTTCCAGTCTCCACACTCCTGAAAGGTTTGAGAGGACAACAGAGCCCAGTCAGGTTAAAAAGGAGCAAAGCACAAACATCAGAAGTAAAAGGTCTAGGAAGTGAGGTGTCTAGAAGCACAAAGGCCATTGAGATCAGGCAGTCAGATTAGTTGACTTAAGGAGGTCAAAAAGTCCCAGTAACTTGTCAGGGTATAATTAAGATTCCCCCAGTGCCAGTCCTCCCTGACCCTTCCCACAGTGACCTCCCCCTTAGCAGAGCTCCAGCCCCTCATCCCCTGGCACTTCCATCCCAATGGCTGC